ATAAATGTTTACTATGCTCTCTGATATTCAGTTACTAATAGTAAAAAAAACATAATAATAAATATTTAGACCTTGCTGCGTGACTCATTTTTCAAGCTCTGTGTTGATAGTCAAGCGTTGTTAAAAATAATAATTAATGATAAGCCAGGTTGGCGTCAATGCCGAAGTGAAATTAAGAAACGGGCTTCTTTACATGTTTAAGAAAAAACATCAAATTCAAAACCGTAAAAAGCATAAAAAAAGAGTTGCTAGTGATCCAGTGGTTCGCAATTTAGATCATTCCGGATACTGGACGTCCGGATTTTGAACTTTCTACTGTATTTTATTCTACATGAATTAACCACCGTACAGGTTAAATAACTTCATTCACTTACGACTGCACATTTTAACGATCGGATGATCTAATGGGCCGAGTTGTTTTGAGAATTTACAGTATCATCTATCAGTGCTTATCAACAAGGCTAAATTAGCAGTTTATGCTTTGATCTGTAAATAAAGTTCTTCTGGAACACTTTTATCTTAATCAACATCTACCATCCGCATATACCCCGTTCACATGAAGATGGGAAGCAGCCAAAACGTATTTCGGCATTCTTTTACCTTTCGACTCCTGGCACAGAATGATGTTTTTACATCTATCTATCTTATCATCCTATTGCACACGCCACTCTTCAGTGCAGCTACACAAATTCGAATATGACCTTGTCGTCAAGCGTCCATTTTGATATTTGAGCTTCGGTTAAGAAAGACGCAATAAGAAATGATAGATCTAAGGTTCACATTTGTATCACGATCTTAATTAAATATATCCTTGAATCGAGCATTGATAGAGGCCATCTGGGAGTTCAGTGATAAGAATGGAGAGGTTCACTTTTTATCATATGCAGTGTAAAATTTCTGCATGCTTGGCACGTCTTATCAGAAGGGCAATTAGGACGGCTTTGTCACGCACATAATAATACCATACCCAAGATACTGCAAATGCTACGCAGTAGGGCTAACTTCTTTTCAATTACTTCATGGGAATACCATTAATAATTATTGTTTCCTGCTTTCTAATGGAAAACAGTTTTAGAATTGCAACTTCTGAAAAATGAATATGTTTTGGTGTTGATCTCATTTATTTGACAATAGCATCAGAACACGTTCACAAATTTTTATCGTAGCGAGGAGCACAGGATTGCGATTGTCATTTTCATGGACACCTTATAGGCAGAGTTTAAACTGCGCCGGAGCTAGGCTCCGGTACTTCTTCGTTTTGGGGATAAATTCTAATTGTAGGCGAAGCGCACCGAAGCCCTATACAAGAAGGCTCCGGCTCCTTCTTTTATGTAACTGAACAACAATTTCAGTAGAAATTAATCTCTAAAGAAAATTATATTAAAAATCGCTTATTAAATTTTAGTTTATCTCTTTGCATTTTATTTAATTACCTTAATCTTCAATTATTTAAATAAATAAAGAATTAATCAATTTTATTTAAATAAATAATTATTAATTAAATATTAATTGGTAAATATTAGCTAAGTAATTATGAATTAATTTGATAATAATTATTTCTTTAATTTTTTAATTAATGATTTTACTTATTTATTTACTTTTGTTCCTCTTTGCTGACGGTCTTCCATAGGGCTCCAGCACTTCCAATTTAAGAAATTAAGCTCTGCCTCTAGGTAACTATATGACTTTGCTAGCTCCGTCCCAGTTTTGAAGAAGAATCCTCCAAGGGATGGATGCTAGGATCTCTATAGACTACTTGAGAGGACTTTCGGCTTGACTTACTTTATTTATAAAAAATTATGAAATTTAACTTTTTACACAGTCCTTATACTTGAATTTACGAAAATTTCATGCTCATTATTGGGAGTGGGGAGTTTTGTCTCCAGTGCAACAAAAAGTGACCATGATATTTAATTAATTTCAAAATCTGGGTTAGCTGGTGTCATTTTCAACTTTCTAGAGTAAGTCTGTTTTGATATATAAATTACAATAATTAAGTTTTATGTTTTCCTCTTAAATACCATCGAATGATATTCTTTTGTGAGTTGCTAATATGTAACACTCTTTAATTTATAACTTTGTTACAACTGGTATGCCAAAAGAATTTTCACAAAATTTATAAAAGTTTTCAAATACTATAAATAAGTTAGTAACATTGTCAAGCAGCATTTATTACTTTAGAATCAAAATCTAATAATCACACAAAGTATTTATTAAACTAAAATACTTTTAGTCTTTAATTTACGAAGATAATGTTATGAGATGGCTATGTGTCAGTGCTGTAGCTTGAACATTAATTCAGTAACATTCTGTAAGACCTCATCCTTTGTGTGTGTGGGAGGGGGGGATGTTGACTATTAATTTTTACAATAATCTGTATAGAAATGCTCCTTAATCTATTAACATCAGAAACCGTTTTTTAAACTGATATTTTATTTCTAGTAATGTGAAAATGGAAACATTCGCTCTGCAACTTACATACGGTTCCTAATTATGATGTCCAATTTTAAAAGGAAATAATTAGGTCAATTTTTTTCTCACGAGAACTACTTTTTTTCTATTAATTTTTATAACAAGTATAACATTTTCCAAAAATTAAGTTTAGGGACCAGAAGGACATGTAAAATGTCAGATTTCATTTACAAAAATTTTTTTTTTTCATTAAAAATATCAGAAATCTACCATTTGCATCATTTGAAACATTTTTGTAACTGGAGTATGGCCAAACGGTTGCGGAAATAAAGGCTGGATAAGGACTTTTATGGATATGCGTATAATCAAAAAGTAGAAAAGAAGTTTTAATTTTTTGCTGTTTCTTGATGCACACTTAGATAGTTCTCTACAAAGGCATATATATAATACCTAGTGAAGGTACTGCCGTAACACATTTCAATAAAATTTTTATGCATCTATTTAATTTTAAGCTCATCCACGTCATTTTAGCAATTGTAAAATTAGCGTCCAGATAAAACTTGAAACTCATGACACAAATGTTGTAATAATAACATGATAAACATATTCTGAAAACATAAGTGGTTATAAGGAATATTGTGACCATGGACTAACATAAATCACTGAGAAATTTTCCCTCCAATAATATATATATACATATATGAATTACACTAGGAAATGATGTTAGTAACCTACATATGAATTTAAAAAAGATGCTCCCATTTCATTTTAAACTTCTAATAGCTGACTAACACTAACTTCATGCAAGAAATGAATGAAACTCTCTTCATAAATGGAAAACGTAAAACTGTTTTGCAATGCTAATTTTCACGCATTAAATAAAATTATATGTTTGCTGCCTTGCCTTATTAAGTTTTAAGCAATTCACACCTGAATAACCAATTATTTCCAATTTTCTATCAAAGCAATACTATCACAGTTATTTCTTTTAAAGAAGGGAGCATTAACAAACGCTTAACTTTTTAAATAAATCTATGATACACAATAGTGCTTCATTTCCAAATAAAATACAGTGAACCTAATGGCAATCTTGTCTAAAAAAAAAAAAAAAAAAATCTGAAATGTTTCAGATTTTGAATTACGTGCAAAGGGGCGTTTTTTAACATTTTGTGTGTTACCTTTCTTTATTAAATATCATGTTCCTCGCACTTAAACCATAAGATCCAGTGCAACAGCAATATCGCAAAATAGTTTTAAAACGAGCATATCTTTAGAATTTCCGATACAGAGACTCACGTGCTGGAGATAAAAATGTTTTTTCTGCACAACGTTGCCATTGCTCGCTTTGAAAATCCTTGAGTTTGTTAATCAAAAAATTCGTCAAAGTTTTAAAAAAATAGGAAATTGATCATAAAACAAATTTCAAATTTGGTCTTCCACATGCTCATATTCGTTGGAGGATTACGTTATTCAAAATTCGATGACTCTATGTACCGTTATTTTATGACAATGTGAGAAATATACATACATTTACGCAGATTTTCATTATTTAATTTCTTCAAATATAATGCAGGACTCTAACATTTTATGGCAACAGTTTGAAAAGTGAACCGACATTTATCCATCCGACGCAAAATGCCAAAACGAAAGTAATAGTCCTTCGGGACTCAAGTCCCTTTGGACTAAAAATATTTCTTATTCATCAGTATATACTTAATATGACCTTTCTAAAATGACCAAAACAGAAAGAAGACTAAAATAAATACTTAATATGACCTTTCTAAAATGACCAAAACAGAAAGAAGACTAAAATAATGTTGATCCACTTTGTTATCGTAAGAGCAATTCACTGTAACGTTAACTATGCTTGGCACATATTTTAACAATCAATGTATTATAATTCTCATTTAAGTAAGGGGTAAGATAAAATATTTCTTCCATTGCAATAATTAATGTCCATAAGCAAGTTTAAAGCATTGTTTGAATTAGCTGAAAAATTAGACTGGAAACATTCATGGCAGAGGTAGAGAATGCTTCTCAAATTTCAGCAATTGTATTATTGTATTAGTAAATACTGTTACCAACTGCTTATAGAAATGGATTATTAAACTATTAAATAATGTATATTTCTTTAATTCTAATGTGTTTTTTTAATTACAGAGGGAAAATATCAGCTTAACTGATAAAACTATTTTAAGATTCATGAATCCTAAAAATCAAATACAGAATATTTTCTACACGGTAATAAGAACTGCTATGCTACTTTAATGTGAATATGTACTCTGTATTTTAACTGATTTAAATGCACAAATTTAATTTATATCTTTCATGCACATGGCTGCTTACTCTACAAGTTCAAAATATATTTTATAAGATACTTATTTGATTTGTGGCTCATTAGGATCTACTATATGCATGAAAAAGTAATTTTAATTTACACTATACATTTACTTTTTTTTAAACATAAGTTTATGGTTAAACATGCTTATGGTTTATTACATGGTTAAAAACTATGTTTCATATGCTTATTCTTGGGTTTTACCATATTTTAATGTGTTTTTGAATTAGTAAATGATTTGAAAGACAAATTTTTTTTACAGCTTCTTTATTTACAATTCAAAAAGCAAGCAAAAGCAGATGATACAGCTAATGATAGTGAGCAATATGAAAGGTTATGGTACAATAATGTGTTACGAATTATATTCACACTGAAAGCAGTGACTAGCAATAACAAAATTTTCTTCTTCCAGCCACTGAGCTGTCTGCCATACAGTGCAGAACCAGCAAAATAAAATCACTCAAAAATTTCATATGCCTAAAATCCAAGTCTCTGTTGATCCCTAAATTCAATTCAAACAAAGAGTTCTCACAGTCTCTTTAGAAATAACTGGCATTACTCTCACTACATATTCAAAAGCACATTTCCAGCATAAAGGATTGTATTAAGAAATCACAAAAAAATGCATTCTCCATGGAGAATAAAGCTCTTGCGTACGATTCAACTCAAATACACATGCACATTTCTTTTTCTGCTACACACACATTAAAGATATTTCAAAAGGTTTCATAGATAACAAATACGTGCAGAGATCAAAAAGATAAAGAATTGAAAGATTCACAGACAAAGGAGCTAAAAATTTAAAATTTTGTACATTTAATTACAATTATATGTCTACTATTAAGATGAGCACTGATCACATAACAATGTGCAAACAAGAACATCACAATAAATTTTCAGCTTAGTACAAAAATTAGTTTCAGTAAATGCTCTATTAAAATAACAAAAAAATGGCCATTTTTAAATTATGTTACTTAGTGAAAATAGTAACAAGGAACTAGAAAACATGATTTGAATATTTCTATATTTGAAGAAAGTTAGGAAATGAATAATACACAGTTATACGACACATTAAGACTAAGTAAAATGTGAAATTGAAACTAAAGAAAAAATATTCCACAAATTCACACAAAAAGTTAACACATTACTTTTTCTAAGTAAATGGCTATCATTGTAACATTCAAGCAACTGGAAATTTCTAGTCTAGTTCAAATAATGAAATCATACTATTCTGACAGAGTCCAATGAATTTGTTTTTTCCTTGAGGTGAATATGAGATTAACCAGAAAATCACATAACACCTAAAATTCATCAACAATGCATGTATCATTAGCAGACAATACTGTACAATGGAATATACATTCAAGCAGTCTTTCTTGATGGAGACTATTTTGAAACACAGACAATGAAGCTGTTGTGTCAACGGCAGGAAATGAGCAACAGACTTCCAGGTTACTGCCGTTATGGCGAGATAACCAATTTTCCAATGCTTCAGCCATTGGGTCATATCAAAGCCCAATAGTGGATCTGTGTCACCACCTACAACAGCCGTAACAGGGTGTAGGAATTGCAACCAAGAATAATGGCAGCAAGTGGGCTCAATAAATGAGCCACTATGAATATGGCTACCATGGTCAACAAGAGAGGGAAATTTTATCCAACAGCATTTTCTACAAGAGCTTATGTCTCCCTTTCTTTTTTGATTTTCAGCTGCTCCTCACCAAGAATTGTGGCTATTTCCCCTTGCATGAATGCCCAAGGTACACTAGATCCAGCCAGGGGGCATTTATCACCACTGGGACAGTACACTTCATTGCCACTTGCAGCACCTTGGCTTTTAATACTCTCCCTCGAACATGGAAAGCAAAATTTGTGGTTTGGTACGGAAGGACATTGGACGAAATGCGTATCTTCCAGCCGCTCATTGCAAATGGTGCATTTCAATGGTGGTGCAGCAGTGACTCCATCACCAGCAGTTGTAGTAGTTGTAGTTGCAGGTGTGCCACTAGAGGTTGTCTGAGTATTATTTTCTGCTTCCACTGCGACACCAGAACTGGGACGAGCTGATGGAGTGCTTTTCTTTCCCACTAGAAATTTAAAAAATGATAATAAGCTTTTAATTTTTAACTTTTAAAATTAACATATAAAAAGTAGAAAATCTATGAAACATATCTGGCATAACTGAATTTTATTTTATTTGTTTCAATACAATTTTCCCAAGCATCTCATGGATATTTAAAAATCTTTTTAATAAGTAGTCTTATTTCAATAATTAGAATACTGCAGAGATTCTTACATATAACAACAGTTCAAAATGTGGGTCTAAATGCAATCTATTTATTATCAGTATTAAGAAACTGTTAACAGCTTTGTCAAAAATAACTTTGTGAAACATAATGAATATTTTTTAAATTATTCCCAAATCACTAATTACCTATGAAATTTATAAAACCAAACTAACTACGAAAGAGTATTTTTCTTTTACACAGATCAATTTGTTACATTATTTTTTCCCTTAAAACAGTAAAATTCTTAATAAATTGTACAGAATTTCACTAATGGAATAGCAAACATGAACACTCAAGGTTACTGTATTACTGATTAGATATAATAAATAAAATGAATATCATACCTGCTGCAATGCCATTCGGTGAATGACGAGCTGCAGATCCAGGTCGACTGGTACCATTCACTGCATTTTCAGCAATACCATTCCTAGGTGAACCTGGAGGTAGGTTGTCAGCTACTGACATAAGAGCAGCCATTGGTGAAGGCCCATTTGATTGTACTGCTACTACTGTACCTTCTGGTGGACTCACTGTGCGACTTCCAAGTGGTGACACTGTACTTGTAACAGATGTTGGAACGGAACTTACTGTACTGAAACCTAAAAAATAAAAGAATTTAAAATTAATTTTATTAACTACATATTTTTACACAGTTTTAAACATACATAACACATCAAGTCATAAAATTTTATAAAATCAACGCATAATTGAGAGCACTTTTTTTTTAACTTTTAAAATTAATGTATTGTGGTTTGGTACGATGGTTGATTTTTTCATTTCATGTTTTTACTTTGACTGTTAACTGTAAAAACAGTGGTGTTTTTTAAAAAAACTGTAAACTATAGAAGTATATCCTCATGAGCTATATACATAGTAATAGTAGTACTTGACTATCATATGAAAAACTGTAGGCTAATAATAATTGTAGGCACAATTTTCAGATTACAACAGGGATAAAATATGAAATTCTTAATTTGTATGTATCCGATTTTTTTCAATAAAATAACTTTAGACTGCTTGGTTAAAATACATAATTATTTATTCCACTAATTTAAACACCATAACAGCTGGCAGTATTCTTAATAAATAGAACAAGTAAAAATATAATATACATTTAATAATATATAATGTTATACAGAAACACACACACACACACACACACAAAAAAAAAAAAAAAAAAAAAAGAGAGAGTTCCAAATTTATAAATCCAGGTTCTTTTTTCGAAAGTTCACACTATCTGCCGATCACCCCCCCCCATTTTCTCGGTTTTAAGGGTTGCCAATCATATCCATAATTGTCTTTATAATCATGGTTCGCAGAAATCAGTTTTTCATCTCATCAGTTTCTACCCTAAACCCTCTTTTACTTTGTTTTAACTGAAACAAATATCTGGGATTTGGAATACTCATTTCAAAAGAAAATGTTGTTGTTATTTCCAATGCAATCCAGACACAGGGTGTTTCCAATAAACGTCCGAGAAGCACTACTAAATATTCACAGAGCACTTTTAAAGGAACACTTTTCATTATCAAGCCCCTTAACAGTATACAAGGTAATCATAATACAAATAATTGCACATAAATAATTTAAGGCTAATAATTATATTAAGAATATGAAGAAAATTATTGAAAAAATTATTTGTAAGATTTATGTACAATTATTATTATTATTATTTGCATTATTTATTTTTAATTTTACAAATATAAAGAAGTTTCCAGAAACAAAATCGCAGATTTTAATCATAAAAAATTCGAATTAAATTCATACCGATTTTAAAACTATATTATAGAGTATTCTCTCCTTACATTTATTTTCTATGTCAATACACAATTATAAGTTTTATTATTTTTTGTGGGGGTAGGTGAAAATTAATGAGATCTTGATTATGTCGATCCATTTTCAATGCATATTTAGCTCTCAACTGCTTGTTCATTATAGGACCTCTTTTAAAATTTCATCAACTTCCAGGTTGTTTCTCACAGGGAACCTCTGTTTTAAGACTCTTATCTAACAGAATTCATATGATGTCGCATGTATTCCAAATAAGAAATATTCTCTAGCATGCTAAATGCCTTTTTTTTATGCCTGCAATAATTTAGTCCTATGCTATTCCTTTTTTAAATGCGATGTTTATTAATTATTGTTATTTTAAATTTAATTTATACATTTAAGAAATGGGCAAAAAACTTATGGGGAGGATGAACGAAACAAACAAAAAAGTTCAAGGGGGAAAATACACAAAAATACGCCAATATGGCGCCGACGACGCGTGGTATGGCTTTAACAACGAACACTATAAACTAAAAGAATTTAACATAGATTATCCTTTATCAGTTTTCCATTATCAAGCCGGGAAACCCCTACTTGCATAATTTTCATCTACCAATTATAAGAAAATATAGTTGGTACGATAAGCATATTTTTCTCAAGTTCAACCAAAACTGGTAAAAACTAACTCTATTTAAAATTTTAATTAAGTACATTATTTAATATTATTTTTATCTTGCGCATAAAACTTCACCAAGTAATTATAAAAAATTAGGCAGAGTCGCTTAGAGCTAAAACTCTTTTTCAGTTACCACATGGTCGGTAATCAGTTTTTGCGATGACTTGTTTCACTAGACCCTTGTATGTCTCGGTAGCCAGATATACAAGATTGAAGCTCATGTTTTAATAGATTATTTATTAATTTTTTATTGATAACTTCGTCAATTATATTCCAATTTGATTGACATTTTCATGTACCGCACAAAAAAAAGTTTGAGCGTATTGCGAATAGATACTAACATTAAATCTGAAATATTCAAGAACTTGTGCGCTTTAAAAAAACAAGTACTTATTCGCTAATATAATTAGTCGTCAACCATTATGTGCATAATAAAAATCTACCATCAAATCAGTGTTAGTTACCTGTCATATGTGTACATAAAAATATTGAAAATCTAACTAAGCAATTTAAATACTATGAAAATTTTCTTTTGTTTCATCTTTAAAAGCAATTTTAGAATGATATTTTTTTTAGCAAACTTAGCAATAATCTGAAAACATTTCCCAAAATTCAGCACAAACAACGCCGAAAAAAATTCCAATAAGTACATTTCTATCTATTCGGTAATTGGCATTCGTTAAAAACACATGTCGCAAGGTAAGTCTCACTGTTGGCGACTAGTAGACATCGATTGTAAACGTGTCAAAAAATGTACTATGTCCTTATGAATGTGCTCGCGTTTTCTTTATTCTCATTAATTTATTCGCTCAGATAATGGCATTATAAAATTAAAACAATTTTCACTACCATTATAGGAAATTGAAAAAATTTAAATCAGTACGCTCAAAACGAATTCGGTATTTCTCTGAATCCACAAAGTATTTATTATTCAGTGATAATTGCCTGCTGTCTCAGAATATACAAAAAAATAAACCCAATCATAATAAGAAACAAACAAAACACAACAACACGGTAATAAATGAAAATATTATAACATCAACTTCGTATCTACAATAGTCGCACAGCTTAAGGAGAGCAGTATTCGGATACTATTATATAATTGTCCAAGGTTCTTCCCTTTGTTATCTCAATCTCATTTGAATTCAGTCGGAATGTGCACTTTCGGTTCAGGCGCGATGCGATGCCGACGCACTCTTAGGTACCCGCGATGATATCGCTATCCCAATATAACATGACATTTAAAGATTTTCGAACACATGTGAGTTCACAATTCTCTTGTGCTGCGGTAAAGTCCATAGGAAATATGGAGGAAAGAAGTAAAATCATGTTAAGGTAATAAATTGAGTCTAACGTCATAGTCCATCAAGCGATGCTTGTGAACACGAAAAATGCTCAGCGCAAATCAACAACTGCTCTACCAAGTCCAAATTAGGCAGAAGGCACTGTGAGGCGTTGAGTAATGTGCGAATCAACAGATAAGCAGGTTTAGAAAGATATGCCAGTTATAGTCTGTCATAATAATAGCCGTAAAGATGAGAAAGCAAATGGAAAAGAACATAGGAGGCATCTGACATCGAACAAAATCAGTGAAAAAATATATAACATTTTGAATATCTATATATGTTACTTTAAAAATTAAAAATAACAATCAATTCTTAAATACAGATTGTGGTATGCCTAAACATAAAATTATGGTTGATCTTTACAATATGGTAACTGGTAGTTTGGTGACATTTTGGAGGCGATAAAGGTTACTACCTGGGAATTTCGTAATAATGTGAGCAGTACTCAGTTCCGATTACGCATTATTTTGTGTGAGGGAAATGAGAGATCATGGGATATGTCATGTGATATTAATGGACGAATTACGGTTCTTTAATCAGAAAAGGGGGGAAATCGGAAAAAAATCTGGAAATTTTGTATTTGGCTTTATTCTGTGTTGTGTGAAACAGTGTTCGTGAATTTTTGGATCCCATGGCCGTAACTAAAGTGAATTCGAAATGGGTATTTATGTATGTATTAATTTAATGTATGTGCTCATTTATATTTAAATAGTGTTTTTGAATTTAATTATATTTTAATTAAATGATAGTTATTTGTGTGAATTTTATGTTTGTAGGAATTTGGTACACGTTTAAGTTGAAGTTAAACGTGCATGGAATAATTTAAATATTTGATACTAAGTATTTGTAATGCTTGCGGTATGAATTCGTTGGTGACGTGTATAATGTAATAGATGATTTAGAGGTAAAAGATTTTGGATATTTTATTTATTTTATATGTGGAAATGTTCATATTTGGAAAGGGTAAATACTTTTTCGCGATCAGGTAATTTCATATATGTTCTTTTACCGGGTTTAAAGATTGAGAAAATTGTCATGTATTTTCGTGAAAATTTTTCTAATTTATGAGAAAAAAGCAGTGTACATGGATATAGTGAAGAGTGTGCGCAATGCCATTTTTGTGCAATTCTGGGATGTTTTTTTAAGTAAAAAATAAGTCGACGTGTACATGGTTTATGTGTATGTGTTATTTTTGAAAAAACGCGTAAGGAGTATGGTATTGTGCACTTTTTCCCAATTTTGCAGTGAATATTTGTCATGATTAAGCAGTTTTGTTAAATAAAATTTCTAGCATAAGTGTAATTCGGCTAGTAGATTGTTGGAAGAAGTGTTCAGTAGATAAAAAGAAAAGAAACATGTCTTTACTTCGTGAAGACAAAATGGCGGCGGGAAAAAAAAAAATAGAGGGTTGCTGTAGGAGAGTTGGTCGCCAAATTTTCGCCAAAAAACGCCAAGTTACCAAGATCAACCAAAATTATTTATGTCAGCATTATAATATATGTTTGAAATATCTGCTAGATTAACTAACTGCTATCCTTCAAGGATGCTACACGTAAGGAACATTAAACGTTCTTCAAAGCGAAAAGTTCAATTCACAGTTTTTCAAGAAAGAATTCACGCTTGCAAAGAAATCTGAAATTCAAGTTCGTAAGGAAATTTAAAAGAATGTTCAAAATAAGCAATAAAAAAGATAGCGATTTGATTACGCCATGGATACAGAAACGAAACATGTTTCTTTCGTCACCAGCTCCACGTGCGGGGCACCGAACTCCGCCTGTTTGAAACTATGACGTCAGCTGAGGGCGACCAATGAACATCAACATCTCCCACAAAGGGCAGTTTGAAAATCCAGAAGTGGATAAATAAGTATATATTTTGACTGAAGTTACCAAATCGTACCTTAAATAACTATAGACACGTTTTAGCTGATACTAAGTCTTTAGTAAAACTTTTTTTTTTACCCTTCCCCGCGTTAATAATTTTGATTACTTCATTCCACAACAGCTTCTTTCTTGAAACTTCTAAATTCGTTTCCTGCCTTCAACACATTTTACTTCAAAATAAAGTTGGACATCCTGTTACAATATTTTTTCTGACCGAATTAAAATATATACAGCATTTTAATTCAAATTTATGCATTTCTGCATACATTACATGCCACTACTGCACCTTATGATTTGTGTACATTTTGGGTTGATGCATATCATAGCAACTACCTTTAAATGTGACCGCTATTCTTAAAACACAAATATAAATATCAGTAACTGTTATTTCTCTTAAGCAACGACGACCTCCATAGAAGACAGAGAGATATGGAACTGGGTATGGTCTTATTAGTAACATTTTCACTTTATCTATCAGAAGAACAACATACAATTTCTTTACTGATTACATATATATTTTAAAAAGAGACAATATGGTGTAAAATTAACTTATTTGATAACAAGGATGAAAAATTAAAACAAATGCGTATTTCTTTAAAGGTTTTCCAATCAACATTCAGTTAGTTTTACTTGAAAATTTATAGATTATTTTGTATTAATAATCTATGAAATATAAAGTAAAATCCTACCGACAACGGTGTCTTTTTATGCAAATGCGTTTCGTGACGTCGCTTGAAGTAAGATTTTTTTTAGTTAGATAGATTTTTTTTAGTTATAAAAGGTTCTGTGGGTGCTGTTCTTCATATGAAGCATTCATATTAGATGTTATTGCAAACCTTAAAATTTGCTTATTGTAAATGCATTTTAGGTTGTATTTGTGACTAACAAACGGATTGCGACCTAAGGTTCCTACGTGAATATTATTCGCATCACTGTACTGTACCCTTTACCATGAATTTCGAATCACCCTTTATACATTATATTATATTTCTGTGGCTAAAACTCATTACTGTAACCCCGTATACATATAAAGACAGAGAAATAAATTTACAAGCCTCGGAACCCGAAATCGAATGAAGGATCTTTGAACACACGGGCTCGAAATGCCCCTAAAAAAGTATATGAGAGAAATGACACTATTTTCCCAAAAAGAATGCCTTCGTGAAAGTTTATTTACAGAAAATACGCACACATTTAACATTACACGCAGGAAATACCATGAACTTTTCATTTAGCGTGTTGTCAGGGGCGTAACTAGAGGGGGGCATCTGTCCCCGGGCGCAGAATCCAAAAGAGACCATCTAAAGATGCAGACGTATTTTGTCTTCAGTGAAAATGGGTAACCTTAATAATAAAGACGTTTTACACCGATATTTGTTAGAGCTGTTCGTGTATGTTCTTAGGGTTTTCAATGGTTTCGGTTTATGGACACAGTGAAAGGTTTCATCGCATGCCGAAAACTTTCTCAATTACAATAAGCCCTCTCAGGGAACCTTCTCCCTTACAAGTATTTTAGGACCTTCTCCCTTACAAGTATTTTTAGGAAAGTACGTAAACATCGTTACTGAAAATCACCTCTGTAACATAACCGCTTTAACAAAAGATCAAAATCATCTGGACCGTAAAGACTAAAAGGTTCACTATTTTATATTAAATTATTTATCTACACTGGGAATAATTTTAAAATAATGGTCGATACTAATTTCACTCTACATTCGTTAAATTCGGAATGATATTTAACAGGAAGAGTGATAGTAAAAATTGGAAAGGAGACATATGAGGGCGAGTGTGGAGGGGGAGGAAAAATAGGCCGGAGTTAGCAATCTATTTTGAAATCACTCGTTTGGCAACAACAGTATCTCCCGCCTGGAAAGAACGGCGAAAAGACCTTGCCCAGCGAGAAACTACGTCAGCATGACGTCACCAAGTAGAGGTACAAACGAATTGCGTGTCTGCAACCCCGCAAGGCAAGGATTTCAATGCTTTGACAGCTCAGCGAGCGCAGAAATGATAACACGTCGCTGCGTTTGCTAAAGCAGCCACGCAGCAACAGCTATACGTTGCAGATCTCTATTTCAAACCTCCCCCGTCCTGATCCGTTTATTATTTTTCATTGTCACGCTTTTTTTTTTTTTTCTTCTCACCAGGCGACGCTTCGCCAATCAAGCATTCAAACTTCTCACTCCAACTTTCACTTTTCTTATTTTTCCCCTTATAATATACATTCTAGATATTGGGTTTTCAAGAATATTTCAACAAAATTGCACATTACAAAAATACTAATTCATAACTAAATGTGTCAGATTTATCAGAAAACATTTTAACTGGATAATTCAATCAAAACATTATTCGCTGTTACTTCCTGTCTTAAAAATAATTTCTATAATACTTCAAATATTTAATGTGTTTTATGCACACTTTTAAATGCCGGCACATTTCACAAATTCTTACATAGAGCAACAAGAGCATTTACAGTTCATCTCCCTTCTAAATTGAGGTTACAACGTTTCTTTACTAAAAGCAATGCAATTGGCAATTCTCTTCTAGAAACACACATACTTTCATAAAACTTGTGTGACAAAAACCATGAAATCGCAATTTATCCACAGAAGAATCAAACTCAGTACAGAGAACTAGCAGTGGTTTTAATTGGGTTACATTAAAAGATACTTCAATAAAATTTCAATTTTTCATATAGGCTGCGAAAACTGTACTGTAACATCTAATATTTTTTAAGAACCTCCTCTCAAATAAATGTCACACATTTAAGCCCCTTTTTCCTTTTATCAAACTCTAAGCAAAAAGAATACCTTTATCACAAGCTATTATATAGTTATTCTACTGAATTATATGCATTTTTCTTCTCATTGACCGCTTTAAAAATTTAATACTCTATAAGATCAGAGAAAATTTAAAATGTAATTTATTCCCAAACATTTCAATCCTTATAAAATGATACACTTTTTTTATATATATAATCTCAAAAACTACAAATACAACTTATTTTATTACCTTGAAATTTAACATAAATTCTATTCATTAATATGAGCACCAAATCCTAGCTGAAAAATTTCCAAATAATAAAAAAGAAAAAAAATTTCAAAACTTAGCTGCAATAGATTCAACTAAATTATTATTCAATTATTAAATAAACGAACAATGAGCAAATAATCTTATTCTTTTCCTATACATTAAAATGTCTTGATTTTTTGCAAAACTCCACACATAATTAATAACAATGCATTTTTTTTACATAATGTGTCAATGCCAGTTTCATTACATTGTCATCACTACTGGATGCCAAAACCACATATCTGCAAAACCGTTGTTTCAAAGGGGAGTCATTTTTCATTAAAGCGTATTCAACTTCTACATTAATTTTTTACTTTTATGAGAGAATATAAATTTCTGAGATTCCGAATAAAATAATCTGAAAGGTTTTCAGATTTTATATTACGCCCAAAGAGGCTTTTTTTCTTAACGTTTTATGTGTTACCTTTATTTATTAAATATCTTGCTCTTCACACTGAAATCACAAAATTCAATTCAAAAGCATTTTAACAAAATATTTAGAAAAAGCATATTTTTATAATTTCCGATACACAGTCTCGTGCGCTGGAGGTTGACATTGCTTCTTTTAAAATTGTTACATTTGTTAATCAAAAACTCATTCAAGTTTTACAAAATATGAAATAGATTAGGGTTTCTAGATGCCCATATTCGGTAGAAGATTATGTTATTCAAAATTTGATGGCTCTAGGTACCGTTATTTTATCACAATGCGAGAAACATACATAATTTATGGAGATTCTTCATTATATAATTTCTTTAAATGTAAAGCAGGGCTCTAATATTTGATGGCTACAATTTGAAAAAGTGAAACACTTTTATAGTGGACTATGCAAAGTGCCAAATCGAAGTTAACAGGCCTACGCAAATGGGCCCTTTGGGCTAATAAAAAAATTGCACATACGATATGCGCATTTCATTGTTTATACTAAATGAAATCACTTACTTTAAGTATATTACAAACACTTAGCAATGGAATTTCCTAAAATTAACTAAAGAATCAAAAATCGATCTAAAGTCAAAACCGAATCTATATGAATATTGTAATCCCTTCCAGACAATAGGAAATTAATTCCAAAATAAAAATTTAGTATGTTAGACTATAAACAATATTAGCATAATATTATACAGTCATAACGGCAAATGTTGTTATAATGATTAAAAATTAATATTTTCTCATATTTCACACATTTATCCAACTTTTAGGTGAAATATTAATGCATGCCTTCATCTCGTTACTTTTTAAATTACTATAAATATTCCACTACAGAAATTTAAAATCCCGTTCAGCAAATGAAAAAAAAATTGCATGAAAAGCTATGCGTTTTATAATACCTATGCTGAACAGCATACACTTTCCGTTCATTTACTTCTTAAAGGTACTTTGGGGGGGAAAAAATTAACAAACACTATTAAAATGTTTGCGATATATCAATAAAATCCCTTACAAATGAAAAATTTATAGCGTAGGATGGGGAAAAAACTCACCGGCTTTCATGCTAGCATTGGCTTGGTCAAATGAAAATACTCTGCCGACCATGTGTTCTTTTTTGTACCGGGCATCAAAGGGTACCCCCATTACTGCAGCAGGAAGCGACTCTCCTCTAGTTAGGGGTGGACGACCATGATCCTCAACAACCATGTGCCGTTTAGCTTCAGGCAGGCCCCCGTGGGACCCCGGGCCCTCGTCATCCTCTCGCTCAGAATTGGTTCGCTTTCCAGCAGTAGAGTTCTGGCGGCCAGCCAAAGGCATGTGAGGAACCGGTGGGGGCAAGGGTGGTGGAGCAACGGGGTGGGCCCGGGTGGCCAAACTGGGGCTGCCCCGGTTGAGAACGGACGCGTCATGTGCTGAGACAACATCAACTGTACCTTCAACACGATGGGGATGCATTCTTTGTCCATTAAATTCTAACATTGCCCGGGCTTGCCGACTGTCATGAGTACCATATCGTTCAACAACCGGCACCGGGGAACGGGAGACAGTTGAGTGGGGCGTACCGGGTACGCTGTGCGGGGGCGTAAGTATTCCCTCAGCGGCACCATTGATGCCACTATCGTGGGCGGAAGCAGCGGTCCTTTGGGACCCGCTTGCTGTTTTGAAAGGAGGCTGCTGCCTCGGATTTTCCTGAAAACTGTGTGCTCTTTTCATTTGCCGAGCATTGTCCAGTATTATTTCAATTCGGTCGGCACCTTCATAATTCACACAGCCTCTACACACAGGTTCTGAAAAATCGTGCAACATCGCCCATGGCATTCGCGGTAGGTCGCACAGATAACACTGTTGGCGATGGCTACGAGAAACGGACGACATCCTGACCATTGGCAGGAAATTACAACTCCACGTTCTGCTAAATCTAAACCTCCACTCAACACACCATGCGATGAACTAATGAAGCCGGAGCTACTTCTTCTAATGCGGGTTGCTATACGAACCGACATGCCTAAAGATCATCGCCAAGTCTCTCGCCAGATTACCGTCAATCCTCGCCAACATCGATAACGGGAGGAAAAATTCCCTTTTCAGTTACGATTTCCTACTCAGTGTTTTTGCGTTACGCGTTAACAAGATTAATATTCACTGTAGTTTTGGCAGAATTTTCTCTCTTTTAATCCATTTTAGAACGATTGTCAGAAAAATAACAGTTTGAGTTTGCATTTTTGCACTCCACGTTATTCTTCTAGTTCATAATTCAAAATACATTAAAATTACTAAATAAAGAAACTAAAGAGTAACTAAATAAGCGTTTTTGAATTATTTAGTAACAGCACTGTGATTTATGAAAATATTACAATGAATGAAATATTATGCATATTTTCTTCCTTTTAATTTTATAACTTGTATATTGTTTGAAATGTATTAAAATGCTTAAAATTTTATTACAAGAAAAAATGATGCTGAACTCAGACTTAAAGCCAATCAAAATATACTTAATATTTATATTTCCTTTACGTCTCAAAGGTAAGTGGTTGCGTAACGAGCTGTGAGAAAAACAAAAATATTTTTATGACAATGGGGAAGATAGAGAGGAAGTGTGTAATAGTGTATCGCGATAAGAAAGTATGTTGAATATCATGCGTTGCGAAGTCGAAGAGAATCACATTTCTTTGTGGTAAAAATATGTAAACTCCTGAAATCATAAAAAGTCTTCTACATTTCATCGCTAATCCCATAATTGTTAGCAAAACAAGAAGCTGAATTTCTTCATACAAAGTATAAAAATAAAGAAAGAATGAAAATTCTGAAAAGGTTCAGATGTTTAACGGTCGCATAAAAGGGTTTGCTAAGGTTTATCTACGCTCTCGCTGAACTCGCAGTCTGCCAGCCTGCTGTTGCACTCACTTCTGCTGACGCATTTCTGTTTGACTTTTTAGTTTTATTATCAAGCTTCATTTTCTTCGCACTTACGCCACTTACAATTCAACAGCAAAATTACGAAAATTTTAAAAGCAGCATGTGCTTAGAATTTCCGATGAGGTGTTAAATTTTGGCGTACATTTTTCTATTTTTTCAGTCTTTGCTCAGTTTATCATATCCTTGTACAGCTTTCTAGTAAGACGGCTTGCAAAACTTTTTGTTTGTTTGTTTTTATTATTAATGTTTTGCGTGTTAAATTTATTAATTAAATGTTATGTTCTTTGCACTTACACCACATAATATTCCGTTGAGTAGCAAAATCACAATATTTATTAAAAAAACGGCCTATCTTTAGAATTACCCATAGATAGTCTCGCACGCTGGAGATAACACTATTTTAATCCGTACAGTGTTATCATTGCTTGCTTTCAAATCATTGAGTTGCTTAAAAATTCATTTAAACATTAGAAAATATGAAATCCGAATCTCAAAATTCGGACTTCCAGGTGCCCATATTCGGGTGGAGGACTACCTTTATTCAGAATTTTATGGTCCTACGTACTGTCGTTTTTTCACGGTGCGAGAAACATAGACATTCATACGGATTCTTCATTATTAAATTTCTTTAAAAGTAATACAGGGTGATAATATTTCGTGGCAATAATTTGAAAAGTGATTCAGACATTTAAAGTGATACGCAATCAAATCCTGTTTCGAGACTAATAGCTCATTCGGGCTAAAAATTACACATTTGACCCGAGGACATTTTTATATTAATCTGAATTATCTATACTTAGTCACAACTGTCTTGATCAATGAACAGGAAGAATGTATATCATTACCTGGTATTTGAAATTTATTCATTATTACGAGCAAATCGTCGGCAGCAAGCCAAGACTACGAATCTATATTTTTAGCTATTTTAACCTTATCATATTTCCAAAATCACTTTTCGATGTTTTTAAAGTATGTTAAAAAAGTTTCATTTTCTTTAAGTTTAATTAAACTTTTAAAAGTTTCATTTTCTTTACATCGATAAAGTCATGCTAATTCGATGTTCCTCAACGTGTTGAATTTTTAAACATGTTTTTATAAATATGTATATATTGCAGATTCGTGGTTTTAGCATGGTGCCGAAGGTAAATGAAGATAAATCGTAATGCATTAAGATTTGAAAATGATGAACTTTATGATAAAATGATTTCAGTTGATGATCATATTCGGGTGGTTTCATACTGTATATTATTTTTTATTCGATACGAGCTTTAGAAGGTATTTTTTAGATAAAATGTACACTTAAAAAACTTGTATAGTGACCAGTCACTGGAAAGTAATCAGCATTTCTAACAGTATTATTAAATATTTGTACTGGCCACTTCCAATAGCCACAGTTTTTAAAACCAAGTTATTTGAAACCGCGCGAGTTGTCGTCTGTGGAAAGTTTCATGCCATACGTAATATATTCAGGGAATCTTAGGTGACAATGTAACTTTTGCAAATACTTGGTCTCTTTTTCCCGTTACTACTACTCGTGAATATGCTGCACGTGTTTTTTCTCTTGAACATATTTATAGAATTTTCCAAGTCTGCTCTTATTTTCGCGAACATTCGCCATCCACTTCTAACGATACGCGTGAATATTCTGCACGTGTTTTTTTAAAAGGTTTCTTTATAAAGTAATACCTAAATGCGGATCAAGTATTAGCGACTAATATGTAAAATGATACCGCGCATCACAGACGATGTCATAAAGACAAAAAGCCAATGAAGTGCAGGTAGACGGTGTCTATATTTATGTCTAAAAACAATTACGCTTTTGGATTGTTCTCGTCGTGGCAAAAAGCAAAACTACGGAGAATCAATCTGAGACTGTTTTCGCAATAAATCCTTAAAAGGAAAACATGTTTTAAGTTACTTATAACGAGTATCCTTATATATTGCATTAATAACATGATTAATGATAATAATAACTATAGAATTAATAATAATAATAACTAGTTAAATCTTGAAGTATTTTATAGTAATTAAAACTGAAGTAGCAGATTAAAATTTTTGTTTAAAGCCAAAAATCCTCCTAATATTGGAAAGAAGGGAATTTAAATACACAGAGGACATTCGCGTGACTATCACCTTTCTACGATAACCACCTCTATGACCGACCAGTATTCTTCCCAACTTACATAAGCATCAGTATTGAGTATTTATCTTTTTAGGACGATTGTCTTCGACGAAAACGAAAATCATCTGGAGTTATGAATGGTGGTGATATTTTTGAATGCTAACAACTCATTTTAAGGACTTAATATATTATGATTTTGCTTAACTGTGCCGTCCTCATTAAGGAGAAAAGTAATATCCAATCATCTCAGATGTAATATGTTGCTGTTTCTGAAAATTTACAGATTGAATTGGATTATTTAGATTAAAGAGAAACACTGAAAAGCTACGGGGGGAGGTTCCTTCGTGGAGTACTTTTTAAAGCAAGCTGGCAAGTATTTACTTTACATACATGTAAACCATAAAAGCTTTCCTGAAACCCGCAAGTCTGACGGGGTTTCAACTCGGGTCAAATTACTAGCGTTCAACGATCTTACTATTTAGCCGCTGATGGGCCTGAAGGCTTAAGAAATTAAGTTTTTACATCACTTACTTGGGAAACAGTAATTCTGCCATGACTTTCACAATCAAGAAAATTTAATTTCTTCTTTTTCTTGCTTTTGTTTTAAGTGAATCCGGGATAAAGAGTATCCTTTCGTCAATGGTGTAATTAACTCGAATTGAAAGGGAAAGATAGATGATATCGTCGATGGATATGTTTTACGAATCCTATCCATATGCTTCGGAGCTTAAAGACAAATTGAATTTTGATGTTCTAAGAATTTTACTAAAATTATTAAATTATTTATTATCACTCTGGAGCAATTAGTTCATAAGTTCATAGTATTTTCTACTCTCTATAATCTCAGGAAGTTTTTGATCACTGTTCGTCTCTCTTGCGTTCGAACATTGATAGAATTTTCTTCATGATTGAACTTTCTTCAATTCGTTTGTAAAATAAGCAGCCTAAACATCTTTATAATGGAACATTGAGTAGACCCATCGATGTCCAAAACTTAGTGTTTTCCCAATTCACATTCCTTGGATGGCCACCTCTTAAAGTAACCGTTATTTCTGAAAAGCATATATAACCAGCGGTATTATACATTACCAATGATTATATCTTTTTTAAATGACTACCTCCACAGAAGACTAACAGTATTTGAGTTCCCAGAAGACTAACATTATTCGAGTCTTGAGCAATCTAGGGATATTTCCCTGCAGTATTAACGGTTACCAAATACTCTTTCTAAGGCCAAGGTTCCAGCTTTCGGTCTCTGTACAGGTGATTATCTCACAGAAGTAATTATGGGTATCGTTGTCGATTATTGTTTTTAGAAATAACTTTCAGAAGTGGTCTTAGTGAGGTGGTCGACTCAAGAAAGTTCAATGCATTTAAAAATGTGTGATTTGATTGATTTGATAAAAAAGGCTATTTAAAATATTTCATGACACAGCAACCTTGATAAGATAACCCGGAAGAATCGAAACTTTTAGGGTATTATTATTTGTTATCCATTTACAGGTGGATAATAAATTATATAGTTTTGTTGTTCAATAATAAGAATTAAGAGTATTCGCAAAATCGTGCATATTGCTCGCTTGTCTAATATCAGACGAGCGAGATGAGTCACAACAACATAACCCATTCAGACATCTGAAAAGTACTTTTACTTCGGTTAAACATAAGATGCAAAAAGTACCTTCTTAAGTTAAACAATTCAATTACTTTTTTCTTGTTTTTAAACTCAAAAGCATTACTTATTTCAATTTAAATAAAACCATGAAATTAATTTTTATTTGCACGTGCCCTAAAATTAAAAGTAAAAATAATTGCTATTATTATTACAATTCCGATTTTATTTTTGAATGGGCTAAATGTTGATTTTTGTTACATAGTTGTTATTATTATTCATTAATTTTTGTTTGTT